TGGTGACTCCACCACCTCCCTGGGCAGCCCCTTCCGCTGTCTAATCACCCTTTCTGTGAAGAAATTCCTCCTGATGTCCAACCTGACCCTACCCTGGCACAATTTGTGACCATTTCCTCTCGTCCTGTCCCTTGTTCCCTGGGAGAACGGCCAGATCCCCACCTGGCTACAAGCTCTAATGGGAGAATTCCGGGAAAACCAACAAAAGAGGGATTTTCTCCTTTCAGTTCTACTGCTGAAAATGGAAATGTTTTCCTTCTGAACTGAAAACAGGTAAGTCACATCCTGCTCTGATACACCTTTAATTGTCTTAACAGTAGGTGAGGAAACATTAGTAAGACCTCCAAAATTCCCCCCAGCTCAGAAATTTCAGCAGAAGCAAAAGCCCTGGAGATGTGGTTTCCAGACATTGCATGATCTTCTGTGGTCCCTCTGCTCTTGAAATAATTTTCACTCTTCTAGAACTTTGTAAAAAATATGCATAAAGCAGCAAAGAAGAACATTGGAGATGAGAAAAGCAACCATGCCATGATTAAATGTGTATGGTAATGCCAGTGCTTCTCAGGGAAGTACAGAAAAAAACAGCTGGCTATTAAGACCAGGAACACAAGACAAGGTATCCACCTCTCTTCAGACTTGTGATATTATAAGGAGAGTTTCCAAGGAGAAAGCTAATATCACTGTAATATTACTTTTCCCAGGAAAATATATATGTTTTTGCAGAACAGGATTCACTTCTGAAGCTGAACCAACAAGTAAATTATTCATAAGAGAAGAGATAAAAGACAGAACATTTCTCAGGCTAAAATATTTAGACTCCCCCAGCTCTGACAGTGTGATCAAACTCGTACTAACTGGGCATACTGGGAATCAAAATGAACCCAAATTAAGTGGTACAAACTACGCATATAAAATACATAAAGTTGACAAAAAATGAGAGCTCTCCTTTACCTTTTCATCTTTCATGTTGAACCAGTTCAAACAGAGCTAAGCAAAGATGCAATTAGTCAGTGCTCTAACATTGTGCTACTTATCAATATGTGAGTGTAACACCTCAATAAAACAGGATGCTCAAAGGGCTGCTAAATGTATCAATATTCAATTACCCAGTGTTAATAAAGCCATTAAAAGAGAATTAACAAGGGTTTACTTAGGAAGTATCTCTGTCTGACATTAGGTGGCTCTTTAAACATTTTCTAAAGAAATACAGTAAAAAGCTATTAAAATATTTATGCAGTGCTTGCATTAGTTCTATTTAACTGGCATAGCAGCAATAATAGCAGCAGTTTTAAACGCCTTGCTTCTCAGCACCACATGATTATCCACTAGTTATGAGGGATAAATAAATTCCCAGTCTTAGAATTTTAATGCTTTTCATTATAAAGAAAAGGTCTCCAAATCCTTCATTAAAGCTCAGAGCGTCACCAAAATTGGATGCTTCCAACTGTTTGTTGAGGAACTGATATTACAGTGTGCTGCAGCAGCATCCTGGGCTGGAGCTTGTCACCAAGGCTCTTGTCTGCTCAGGTGGCCCCAGTGGAAAACTAGGTCTTGCCCCAAATTTTTGTTCTTGTGAGCTCAGGCAAAACCTTCCTGGATTGCTCAGAAAGCAAAGGCAGATTATTTCATTCAAAGAGATTGTGCTGGTGCAGCAGTTCTGGGCTCTGTGGCTCCTCCTCTATTCCCCAGTAACAAAAAGCCTCTCAGGACTTGTTAAATTAGCCAATGTAATGAAGTCCAATTCTGTGTTATTTGCACAGGGACTGGAAAAGATTTCATGTTTCCATGTACATAAACAAAACCTGGCTCAGCACACCAGGGACTTAAGAGGTTTATAAAATATAAAAGACATTCACATTAATCTGTTAAACAATTCATTCTCTACCCTGCCCTTTCCTACTAAGTGGATTCATTACTTATAAAAAATATATATTTGCTGCTGGCTCTTATGCTGATGGTGACTCACTGCTGGACCCCAACCCCTTGGGGCTCTCTGGGGGGACAGGGATGCTGCCCTGGGGCATTGGGCTGGTGCCACCAGCACTGGGGACAAATGAAGGTGCAAGTATTTTCTCTCCCTGTTATTCAGAGGATTTGGGTGCATGGCAATGTCAGTTTTGCTGTAGAAGAAGGACAGAAAGTCTTCGTGACTGCACCTTTGATCTGAATTAAATTATTAGGAGGTGTGGAAACAAAACAAATGAACTCACCCCTTGGAAAATAAAAAATTAAGCAGTTTCTCTGATGCTGCTCGGACAATGATGAACATTTTCCTTCTAGGAATTGCTAAGGGACAATGTTGGTTTCTTGCAGAACATGTTGGGCAAACTTCATCAATATAAACCCATCTTTGCATTCAGGCATCTGTGATTCCTCTCAAGGAACTCTCGTTTGCAATTTTGATGGACATTCCTCTAAATTTGTATAAAAATGCATAATTATTTTCTGAAAATAACAGCACTTATTATTTAAAAAGATCAAACAGGTGCTACTAAATACAAACATCCTAACAAGAGCCGGCTTTGTTTTGTCTTTAAAAAGACCATTATACCAAATCACTAGGCCTCTGAGTTCAAAGAAAGTCAAATGCATGCCCTGCTTGAAGATTATCCACATGATAGTTTGGAAAGACATTAACTTGCCACAGTTTACATCCCCAAAATAAAGTGATGAAGACTTTTAAAGATGACGCAACTCCTCTGCGAACAAAGAACAAAATCCAACCCAAAGGCGAATAAAAGTTAAAATAGCAGCTACTTGCTTTTGATTGCTTTGTTTTCAGAAAGCACTAATAGCTCCCCACTTCTGTAACAAAACAATTAGGTCTTTCTAGTGCATTTCGTCCTCTCCTACCCAAATATTTTGTTTCAGAAGCATTTATGTTACAATCACTGCTGGGATTTATGCTACCTCAGCACTACAACCCAACTAATATTGTGATTTTTTTATTTTGTATTTGAGGATTTTGCTGCTTATGTAGAGGTAAGAGATATATCCCACATTTCACTCCCTGTGTAGCATTCAAAATCCCTGCTGTTTCGTAGGTCAGATTTTTATTTGTCCAGCTACAACTGCCCAAGCTATTAAAGGGGTCTGTGGAACTTGTTAAACTGTTGTAGCTTCCACCTACCCCATTTCCAACTAGATTAGTTTCAAATCTAATCAAATTATGATACACCTACAGGCACCATGTGATACTTGCCCATTTTTCAGCCATATGCAAGGGGGTTGAACACTCTTATTTTCATTTTGAGTCCTCTGCCAACTTATGGCACAGTCATCTTTCATGCAGTGACTGTAAGAGCGTCTCTTTAAAGCCCATTTCCAGCCAGGGGACACATCTCCCACAGGAAATGGTGCTGCACTGGACTTGACACATATTGGAGAGAAACAAATGTGTACACTGGATTTATGAGTCACCCCAATACATTTATTAAGCGTTAAGTTGTGCTTTTACAACTGGTCTTCATCAAAGATATTTCATCTCCGAGCCAGAGCGTCATCTCTTCTAATGACTCACAATGAAGACTCATTCCATTTAGCTTGATTTTACTGGCTCATCAGCCTCTTGTTCTCTGGGGGCAAAGTTGTTCTTTTCAGCATGTTCAACCCACAGAGAAATGGCCATTAACTAGAGTTTCTCATTATGTAAGAATCAGCTAATCAAGACTGACCAAGAAATAACTGATGTTGTGATTTAAGAAAGGGAGACATCTGCTTGGAATTATCCAGCCTGCTTTTTCAAAACTGATAAGGCATTTACTGCCTTAGAGTTCAATTAGAGCAAGGAGAAACAATTTTGGGGGATGGCTGGGGTAATGTGGAATTTGGTTTACCTGTCACTTGGGAGGGGAAGGGAGATGGAGAGCACAAAGGGCAAGCAGAGACCAGTGTTGAGGAGAAAAGGCAGAATCTGCCTGTAA